AGGCCAAGCAGTGGACCCACAGCGCTCCCAGCACCACACCCTCCCTCCTGGAATTTCCAAAAGCCCTAGCTCCCTGGGAGCCCACAGGGTCAGCATGACACACCCAGTTCCCAGATGCTCCCTGCTGCCTGCCTTGGGCATGTAGGTTACCCCAGATGCCCTGTGTCTCTCTCATCAGAGTACCCCGGCCAAGAAGGGACACCCTTCGGAGCTAAAGCCAGTCCACACGTCAGTTATAGGAAATATATACAAACACTTCCCCAAGGTCCCAGAATTCCACTATTAGACATTCACTCCTTAGGAAAAGCTAAGGAGCTTTCAAAGGCTTCGGTTCATTCCCAAGATGGGGGACCTATTAACCCATGGGTATCCTAACTAAGAGCAAAAATAGGCATGTTCCTGGGGCAGGAGCAGTCTGGAGCCCCATCTCAAAAACAAGGGCCCCTAGGGAGGGCTGGCAGGCATTTCTAAGAGGCAGGAGGGTCTCTGGAGAATGAGGGGACAGCAAATGTGACTCCTAAAAGGGAAGTGAGAGGTGCAGAATTCTGGTGGGCCTCCAGCTTGTGTCCTGAGGGAAACCAGGGCTGCCTCTGAGCCCAGAGTGGGAGGGACAGAAGGTCCCAGCATGCAAGGGCTTTCTTGACAGGGCGAGATGCTAAGTGTGGGTCCCATCCCCAAGTGCATGGATCTGCTCGTGTTCCTAAACACACCAAGCTGTCACCCCTCTGCACGGGCTGCTCTTTCCGCTTGGGAAGGCTTCCCTCACCTTTGGAAACTCTTGTCCATCCTTCAAAGCCCACCTGATGCATCCACCCTACCCCAGGCAGGCCATTCCCTCCCTCCAACTGCCATCACAGCTAGCGCAGACACCGGGAAGGTGCCAGTCGGGTATGGTACAATGTATGTACGTGCCTCTGTCACCCAGCAGGACTCGGTCTCACTCACCTTTGGTCCCCTGCACCTCATACTGAACCCAGGGCCAGGAACCCCAATCGAGAGGCATGCATAGTGGTGCCTTTGGACCATGAGGCACCTCTCCCTCTGTGGAGAAGGCAGTCACCATGGTAATCACAGAAGCACCTGATGTTTACTGAGTACTTACTAAGAGCCTCATGTGACCCCAGGGGCATTCCAGGCACCACCTCCTTTCATCATTGAGACATCCCTCTAAGGGATTTACTATCATTAACCCTGCTACACAAGGAAATCAGGCACAGAGAGGGGAAGTGAGCTGCCCAGGGGCGCACAGCTAATGAGAGTAGGACCCGAAATTCAGACCTTAGTGGTATGGTTCCAGAACCGGTGTTCTTAGCCACTACAGATCCACTGGCGGGTAGGAAGATGGTCAGGGAGCAGTTGACAAGCTCTACGTAAAAGAGGAACTCAGAGATTTGAATGGCCAGTGCTTCCCAGGCCTTCTCTTTCCCCAGGTCCCAGCCAAAGACCCAAGAAGAGCAGCAGAGACTCCTCCCATACTGAGGCTGCTTGCAGGCCCACTCCTGTGCTGAGTGCCGGCTCTAAGAAACGTCAAAGGGCCGGCAAGCACCTTGGCCCATACCAGGGAGGCACCCGGCTGCCCGCTGGGATGCAGAGCCATGATCTGGGGCTATTCTTAGCAAACCACTGGCTCCCCTCCCAGAGGCCTGGCAGGCAGCAGGCCCAAGCCTCCATACGCCCTGCCTGCCATTTCCTGACCCTGCATGTGGAGATCCCACGGGATTATGGAGTGGCTGGTGGGCAAGGGTTGAGGACAAAGCCCTCCAGCTTTCCAGTGAGAGGTGCCTGCCCGCCCCGCTTGCCCGCCCCTGGCTGCAGCTCTGGGGGGTCCTGGCCACAGGGGAAGGCTCGTCATCAAAGCCGCACCAACAGTACTCACTCTGTACCCTACCCTGGGCCACATGCCTTCCGCTGATTTTCTCCCATTTAACCCTCAAAACACCCTCAGGGGCTTGGGGGGACTGGCCCCATTTTAAAGATGAGGAGTTTTACGCTAAAGGTAAACCAATTCAGACGTTAAGTAACTTGCCCAGGGTCATGCAGTGGGTTAGTGTCAAACTGTGTCTAGACTCTGGGCTGGCTCCCAGTCTCCAGGTTGGGCAGAACCAAAGTGACGACAGCCAGAAGCTGGGGGTCCCCTTCCCTGGCCAAGCCCAGGGTTTAGGGGAGGGGGCACCTGAGGGCAACAGTCTCATCAAAGACCCCCCCCCTGCATGTCTGCCTTTTCTCTTCCCTAAGAATGGTCTCTTCCTGACGCCCCTGGCTCTTCCTGAGGCACCTGGCTGGCTCAGTCGGTACAGCCTGTGACTCTTGATCTCAGGGTCATGAGTTCAAGCCCCACGCTGGGTGTAGAGATTACTATTAAAAAAAATAAACTTAAAAAAAAGAATGGTCCCTTCCCTGCCAGAGACCCTCAGGCTTGGGCTCAAAAGAAGAGTCCCCAGCCAGGTTCCTTCCCTACCCAGGCCACACAGCCTCACTTCAGGAAACTTCTGGAAACCCAAGGAAGATGAGACTTAAAGGTTCAAGGAGCCCCTGCTAGTGCTTATGGCATGCACCCAGCCCTGTAACTTAGGGAGTAGGGAGGTCAAATGAGTCTCAGAGTAAAAGAGAGAATACTAAGCCTTTTGGGAGCTTCAAACCCCAGTGGGGACCTAGAAACAAAGCCATACCACAGATCACCTATACCACCACCACCCTAAATGGGACAACTTCCTGCTGCCACGCAGAGTCACAGGGATAACTGAGTAGTGCACACCTCAGACTCCATCTTGGAACCCCCCTCTGTCCATGTCCTGGCCTTCCTGTGAGGCGACTCAGCAGGCCCACAGCCAACTCCACGTCTGCCTGGTACTCGAGCTACTTCCTTGTGACTCCACACCTCCTGTCTGTGAATGTCAGCTCACATCCATGCTCGTCATCCATATGCCTGCCCTTTACACATCTGCCTCTTGTGTGGGGAGGCTCGAGTCCCCGCGAAGGCGTAATCTGCTTATACAGAGTCTGTGGCCCACGTGTGGTCCACATTTATGTGTCCACACTGTCTGCCCCTTCACACATCTGTACCCCTGGGTTGCCTGCCCACCTCTGTCACCTTCCCGTGTCTGTCTTTATTCACATCTGCATCCAGTTCCTCTCTGTCCCTGCCCACACAGCTGCAGACCCAAGCATGCACACATTCCTGTGCACACCAGTACCCCCACCTGTGCCCGGGTGACCCTGTGTGTGCCAACTGCTTGGAGGCGGGTGGGTGTATTCACATAAGTGCTCACAATGTCAGCCATGGGCCATGGGGTGAGCTCAGCAACACCCTCTCCCAGAACAGCGCCCAAGGCCATGAGCACAATGCCGCCTCCACAAAGTGTTCCGGAAAAGCAGAAACCTGCCAGGGACGATGCGGGAGGGGGCAGAGCCCCCAGACAGAGCAGAACCCCAGAGTGAGGTCAGTGCTGCCCTGGGACCACCCACATCAAGCCAGCCCTGTCCTACTCTCCCCTCCACCTCCATCACCCCACCTTCAATACCTGATGGCTGGCAAAGGAGATAGCGCCCGCCTGTCTGTGCTCACAGGAAACCCTGGCTCAGGGCCTCCAGCCTTCCAACCTCATCCCTAGCCCCCCGCAATAGAGGCTCTTCAGAAATGAAATGAGGACTTCGTCCCTGCTGGCCTCTGAACCTCCCATAAGGTTGGATCTAGACCTCAAACCTCAGAGGCCCCAAGGAAGCTGGGGGAGTCCTGTGCTTGGCCTGACACCAAAAACCAAACGGGTTTCTTCAGAAATCTACCAGCAGGAAAAAAACCGAGAGTGGGGCTGGGGGCGCATACAAGCAAGACAATCTCCTGAATCCTCCTGCTGCTCCTGGCCCATGGAGGTGGAGAGGTCCTCACTAGGAGCAGGACAACAGGGAGGGGAGGGGTATGGAGCTGGAACATTTTAAATAGATTTAAACATATGCATATGATTGCCTGAGAATGGGATTCCAAGCCCCCCCCAGCGATGGCAGCCTACATCACTCATTTAGCAATTAATCACGTGGAGCCTCTTGGCATTTCCACTATGATTAGTCCAGGACTGGTATGGAAAGCCTGTATCAGCGAACTTTCTGTATGTTTGTCTTGCATTCCCCATAGGGCTGAGCCACCTGAGGACAGCCCCCCCCCCCAAGGCCTCCCACACTCCCATCCTCCCCAGCAGAGCCTGGGGCCTGACATTTAAGAGGTGCTCAGTCACTGGGTCCAGCTGCTCTGCACAGAAGCCAAGGAGTTGGTGCCTAGACCTTTGGTTGGGAGAGTAAAAAATCCCAGAAGCTTCCTGAAGCCAGGGCACTTTCTTCCATCTCTGACTCCCCAAGAGATAAGAACAGGTTCCAAACATCCTGGCCACTTTAGAGGCAGGTGCAGCGGCTCTCCCACACCCCACTCTGCTTTCTGACAAATCACTGACTCTTCAGGAAAAAACTCTGAAGATGAAAAGGGACTATCCCGGGAGACCCAAGCCTGCAAAGGGACAGGGCCAGAGGGGCTCAGAATCAAAGCTTGAGTCCGCTGGGACCTCATAACTCCAACCAGTCCCATGGGCCTCAAGCCCGTTAAAGATGAGCCCAGGGACCCCATGTGTGGATCATGAGAGGGCTTCCCTCCTCCCAAATGCGCAGTGAGCCTGGCTCTGGGGGCCGTGCCCCAGGCCTAGCCCCGAAGAGCGGAGGTGCCGCCAGCCCACGTCTACCCCAGTGCGAGGGAAGCCTTGGGGGAGGAGATAGCCTAGCGCCCAGCAAACGACTCAATAACCGCCCACTCTTTATTGAGGTCCCGCTTCTCTCCCAGGCACCAATACCGTGTGGGTTTGGATGGGAGCCCAGAACCTCTCCTCTCCCGGAGCCCAGGAGGCGTGCACAGCCGGGGATGGGGAGTGGGTGGTCTGAGCCGCCCCGGGCAAGGGGGTGCCCAGGGTACTCCGGAGCTGCCCTCCCATCGCCAGCCCCGGGTCCGGACGCGTCGATACCTGCCAGCCCGCGGCTCCGGGGGGCACCCACGCTCCTGCGGCTGGCGCGCTGCGCCCGGACTGCGAGCGCCGAGTCAGGCAGCGGCTGGGCGCGCCCCGCGCGGGCTCCGGCTCGCTCCTCCCCACTTCCCCAGCCCATCCGTGGGCAGAGGCGACTCCGGAGGCGGGCAGGCCGGGCGCAACCAGTCGAGGCCAGGAGAACCGCAGCCCGCGCTCGCGGGTGGTGGAAGACGCGCGCCCCAAACCCAGCGCGCAGCTCGGCGCCCCGCGCCCCCCACGCCGAGGGGCGGACCCGGCCGGGCCGCCAATCACCGCGCCCGCCCCCGGCCAGCCTGAGCCCCCGCCCCAGCCGCTGAGGGGCGGGGGGCTCGGATTTAAAGACACACTCACCCCAGCCGCGTCCGGATTGGCATCCCAGAGCCGCGGCTCCGGGGCGGAGAGGGAAAGCCTGGCCCCACCTTCTCCGTCCCCGCTTCCTCCCTCTGCCCGCCCACCCTCCGCTGGGAGGAAAAGTTTGGGGCGGGGGAGACTGCCTGAGAAGCCAGTTCCTCTTCCCTTGTCACTAGTTCGGCTCCTTCTGGAAGATGCCCAAACCCTCCATCCAGCCTGGCTGGAGAAAGAAGCAAATGCTCTCGGCGCCACACCCCCTCCCAGACTCCGGCTTCCCCGGAGATCCGCGGGCCAGGGCTTCCTTCGCTCGTCTCTGCTTTTCCAAAGCCCGGCCGTGCCTCGGCGGGACCCTGAGGAGCATCGGAGCCCGAATAAACGCCTCAGTGTGCTGTGCAACCTGAGCTGGGCGATTGCCCTGTCTGGGCCTCAGCCACTCCAGTGTCCACGGGCACAGAGCCGACTGTCCGCTCAGTCATGGGCTCCTCCCAAGCCCTGGACGCCCCTCAGCCCTGAGGCTTAAAGGGCAGCGCGAGGCAGAAACTTCGGAAGGGGAGGGGACCCTCTGCCCCCATCCCCTGAGTGCCGGCGGTGACACGCACAATCCCCGCCCCCTTGGGTGCCCGGCTCCCGGTCCCCACGCCCCGGCAGCGCACGCGGGTCGGTGGCTCGCACGCCCCCGCCGGCGCCCACGTGCCTTCACTCTCTCGCAGCCGCTTCCTCTCCCTGGGCCCGGCTTTGTTGTGGTTAGCGAGTCACTTCCTCCCTCTCCCCACACTCGGGAAATCCTTCTTCCTCACCTGTCACTACCTGTCTCGCCCCCACTCAGGGCTGGAGCGGGAGGTGGGGGAGCCGGATCTCCCCAGGAAGGAGGCAGCGCTGGCCATAGGGCGACGGGCTGGAAGAAGGGCACGCATGCCCCCCACCCCCCCACTCCCCCCAACCCACCCCCCCACCGCCGTCAGCCCTGGGAATAAATGAGGACAAAAGGAATGGTTGTCGTTTGTGGTTCTCTTATCAGGTCTCCAGCACCTAGGTTTCAAATGCTTCGTTCACCTAGATGAGTTTATGAAATAAGTACTGTTATTACCCCTACTTTAGTGGGTGGGGAAACTGAGGCCCAGGGAAGACTTGCCTTCTGCTCCAGGCCTGCCTCTGCCCCACCCAAGATGTGCCAGAAGAAGGGGAGAGGAAGTCCAGGAGCCGCTGGGGAAGCACTCCTGACCGCCTTCAGAGTCCGGCAAAGCAAGGCTCAGATTGGCTCGCAGTCTACGGGCTGTGTGGTGTGGGAAACGTGACATAAGCTCTCTGATCCCCAAGTTCCTCATCCATAAGCTGGCCTGTCCGCCTTCAAGGAGGTGCTGAGAAGCCAGAGAGCTGGGATGCCTAATGCCTGGGGCTAGAACGCTACCCATGGTAGGCTCCATCCTTGGGCGCCATTCCCTTCCTTCCTCCTCTTGCCACAACCCCATAATTCACCCCATCTCCTGCCAGATGCCCCACTGATGCCCCTGAGGGTGCAACATTCCTGGGTACTGCCCCCCCTTGAGGCCAGGGGCTAAAGTAAGCGTGCATGCCCCCGTGCTAGCATGAGCACGCGCACACACATGCATGCACACGCACACAAATACACACGCGTGCATACATGCTGCTCCCCCTCCCTCACTGTCCAGCAGATGCCGGGGGCTGTGTCTGTGTCTATTCCTCTAGACTGAGCTCCTGGAAGACAAAATTCTGACTCTGACCTGTCTTTTGGTCCCCAGCGCATTTGTAGTGACCATGCACACAGTAGGTGTTCTTGTTGAATCAAGCAGAAAAGCCCAGGGTAGAGGTGTCCCCAGGAAAGCCAGCAATCGCAGCCCTTCTAGCTCCAACACACAGCCCCAAGGCTCAGCTGGTAGACCCCAGAAGTAAAGGACTGGAGGCCTCAAGGTGTTTCAGGGTCACACCAGCCACTCCATCTAGACCACAGTGCCCAGCCTCACCAACCCACCCCCAGCTCCTGAAGTTCTGCCAAGTCCCTGCTGGGGGGAACCCCCAGCCACAAGAAAGGCTCGGGACCAGATGTGCCCCACCCTGGGCCTGGGAGGGAGAGAGAGCTGAATACTGAGGGAGAGAAGAAGGAAGGGACACAGAGCAGCCCTAAGTATGACCAAGAGAAGACACTCTGCTCTCTCCCTGGCCCGAAGCAGGAGGGCAGAATCCCTTGTGCCAACTCTTTCAGCCCAAACTGTCCCAGAAGCTTCCTGAGAAATCTGGAAGCTCAGAGCAGAAGCCCGAAAGTCCCTGGGAAAGGATCAATGGTCCCAGAACAGGACTTCAAAAACTAGAAGGCTCAGGACCTACACCCACTCTTACGGCACCCTCACCAGCACTATGACCACCCCACATTCGACACATACATACAGGCACCCAAGACATCACTTCATCATCTAAAGAATGCCAGGGCCCCACGGATGGCCCTGTACAAATGTGTGCACTTGTGTGTGCGTACATAGGGGCTTGTGTTTCTCATGTGTGAGCTCATGTTTGAAGAGATGTGAATAAGGGTAGGCATGTGTGCCCAAGTGTCCAATGGGCGTGAGGGTGGACATAGAAGTGAGCATGTGTGTATATGTGAATATGTGTAGCACACACAAACCAACCTATCGCAGCCCAACGCTACACAGAATAGCCAATAACCCCACTACTCACACTTCCAGAATTTTCTGTGGCCTCCACAGCTCCCTCTGCCCAAGCAAGCCAGGTACTGGTGCTCTTGGAAGAGAACTCCCACGTCCAGTCCCTGCCCAGAAACATAAGCTGTGGGAACCCCAGTTCCCTCATGGGAACACTCGAGCCAAGAATTATTTCCTTGACAGGCACAAACGACTCGCCGGAAGGCAGAGGAGCTGAGTTCAAACCAGCAAAGATGAGACTTGACGAAAGATGAGAAACAGGCCCTCCTGCTCTTCTCTGCTTCTTGCTCCCTGCCAAGCCCACCACAGGCCGCAAAAGGCTGGGCCCTCGGCAAGGACAGAGTCAGGGCAGGGAGCCGACCTAGCCTTGCTCCCCAGGGCACTGCTTTGGTCGAGACCTGGGACCTACATGGGCCCACCAGGCTGGGTGGGTGTCTTGGAGTCTGCAGTCTTTCCCCTGAGCCAGGTAGCCTCTGAGCCTCAGGTGATCACAGCTGCTGTCTGAGTCCCAGCCCAGACCAATTCCCACCTGCCCTGGCTATCTGGGGTCCTGCTGCACCTGTCTGGCCTTCCAGGCCCACTGCCCCATCTCCAGGACCCAGCACCCCTCTTCTGTTCAAGCCCCTCCCACGTATGGCCCAGGCCTTATACAGACACGGGCTCTGAGCAGGGCAGACTTGCCCAGGATCTAGCCTCGGTAACGTTCGCTACCCTAAAAGCCCCCACATTTTTCGAGTCTCATTTTCCTCATTTGTAAAATGATGTGAGGGGTTCCTGCCTCCCAGGAGTGTCTGGAGGAGTGAAGGGGTGCCTGGCACTCAGCCAGAGCTCACTGATGGCACCTCTTTCTAGTGTTCCTATTAGTGCCACCCGAGCTTGCACTCTGACCCAGCCCTGAACCTGCCAGGACAGAGGGGTTCTTCAAGGCTGAGGTCACGTTCTACCTCCTCCAGGCAGTCTTCCCGGCTAACATGGTCTCTGTCTGCTCTGGATTCTTTCCCCCTCGCCTCTGTGCGGGGCCCTAGACCTGAGCACCCCTCCCTGGCATGGAACACATGTTCAATAATTGGCATCATACTTATCAGCAGGATCACTAATTTTATTGCTTGTCTCTTTCGTGTCTAGGTTCAAGAATAACGTCTCCCATGACTGAAATTCACACACTGGATTCCAACTTTTGTGACTGAGACTCGAAGTAAGAAATACGTTTTATATTGGGACCACCAGCTACCCAGAGCCACGAAAATGTGTGTGCCACAGCAAAATGCTTCGCCTTCCGCGTGTGATGCATTCTGATCTTTCTAGTCTATCCTGTCCTGTTTCTTTTTTGGTTTTGCCAATTGCGGTACACAAAACTGATTTTACCTATAACCTACAGTGTGAAAATGCTATCCGCAAGGGCAGGGGGACCTCCCCTCCCTGCCCGCAGTACCACCCAGTGCCTAACTGAAGAATGCCCAAGATATACGAGAGGAGGGCCATTCTGTCTCCAGAACATTCCTCAGGAACGACAGAGAGAGTGCTCCATCAGAAGAAGAGAGAAAAGGGAGAAGAAATCCTGGCTCTTTCCTTCCGCAAATATTTCATTCATTTAGTCATTCAGTCAGTCGGTCAGTCAGTCAGTCAACAAACATTTACAGAGCTCCTTCTCTATGCTAAGCCCTGTTGTAGGCTCTGAGCAGGGAATGAGGCAAACAAGGTCCTGCTTTTGTGGGGCTGATATTTTTGTTACAGCACAAGCCCAGGACTCATGCATGTATTGACTTATCCCTCCCCATTCCACCCCCACCTCCCTACTCCCACCCTACTCACCAGAATTCAGCCTAGCTCAGTTTGAGCTGTCCTCTCTCTAAAAGCTAGGACACTGAAGAGTTAACTTCCTTCTAGTGGGGCATCCCAGACCACACAGGGCCAGATACCCCCTGCTCCCACACCCAGAGGCCTTCACCACTCTACCCTGTGCTTTGAAGGGCTCCCAGCTGATCAGACCACGCCTGCCCAGGAACCTGGGAGCTGGATCCTGGCAAGACAGCAAGAGGGTGCAGATCTGAAACCAGCCCCAGCGAAATGCTGAAGGGCCCAGGTCTCGGTCCAGCTGGGGCAGGGACGCCCCAGAGGAGGACACTGTCCTTCGGGCTCTGCACGGCCATCAGAGTGACAGTGAGGACCCTGTCTC